TTTTTTTTTTTTGGGGGGGGGGGGGGGTGGAGGGGATAAAAATTTTGCAGATAATTTTAACATTTATAAATACTGGTATTTAAAATGAAATATCCACAAAATACTGGCACATTTAAACCAGAAAGAACGGAGTTACACGCCGCTCTTAACATTTTTTTGCAATCTTTTCAAGATAGCATTGCTTTTTGTCCTAATTCTGGTTTGCTTGAGAATGATTTTTTCTTAAGTTCCGCGTAACTAGGGCTGAATTTGAAATTTTACAGTCCCACGTGGGCTGAGAACATTCCTTCAAAATTTCAGCTCTCCAGCTTTTCTGGTCTCCGAACCAGTGATTCCCCTGCCAAAAATTTTTGCTGGGCCACACTTGAGAACTGCGCACCCCTGGGAATGAGTGGAGAGAAAACGCCAAATCTATGTGTATTATACGTAAATTTTTTGGAAAGATTACTAGGGGGAGTCCGGGGATAACTAAATCTAACGTGTCGAGAAATAATTGCTTTTAAGGTGGTGATTTGTCACTTTTTTGCTGAATTGATTTTTTCTTGAATAATTTTTTGTTTCACTTTTCTGTTACTTTTTGGTTTTTTCACACTCCTCAGCTTAGTTTTCCGCTATTCCTTTAGCATATACGATTTTAACTGTTTCACAGTGGCAACTCTTTATCGCACCTCGTTGTTTCTTCCCACCCGTTTTTCCCCTCTCATCATCCTCGGCTCCTCCGCCGGCCCTTGTACCCCCAGCACCGTCATTTTTCCAACAACCGATAAATATTTTTGCATAATAGTCCAGTGCAAAATCCTTGGATTTCCCTTAATGTTTAATTTAATCTTTTTAACAGATATGTGCTTGGTGATAATCTTCACATTGGCTTGTCGAATTCGATGGGTAATGTATTCTCCTATACCGATTGTGGCTTAATAGTGGAACCCTTCTGGAAACACTCCATTTGTGTTTACGAGTTCAGCAACAAGAATAATTTTGATACACAGTTAAAAGCTTTCCTCAGATGCTCTCACCGGCGATTTACCCCTCAGGTCAGCACTCAGTAATTTTTTTTAACTTTTTTTTTTCGAAAAATATAATTGGTTTTCTCCATTCCATCAATAGTATGAGTTTTTTTTTTTTTGGTTTTTTTTACACGATTTCTGTTTCAACCGTTTTTATAAATTCACATCGATATGGAATGTTATTGGGGCATTTAGGTTTGCTGCTTCCATCAAATATATTCGTCAGAACAGTTTTCAAATAACGCCAAACAAACTGCATATGTTAACGCATAGAGAACTTCAGACCTCCGTCTTCTTCCAAATCCCCGAGCCAGAAATATTCATTGTTTGCATCTTTAAAATTTCTGAAACATTTCATATATTTACATCCGCAAATATTACTAGAATTTTCGGCTATTTAGCCATTTTTTCCTGCAAAAAGTGATCGTCGCTCGTAATAGGGTAGGTCTACCGAGGGTTTTATTATTTTATGAATTTCCAAAAAAAAAAGCATAAATTCTAGCAATGTTCATAATATTATGCAAATTTTTCAGGCTTACAATGAGAACATTTGGAATTGTTACAGTTTTGTTATGGATTTTCTTCAGTATGCAGATTTGTTGGAGCGAAATATTGGTGCCGCGGATGAGCTAATTTCGAGTCATGTTTGTAAAGCATTACAACGAATGTTTCGATATTTCAGCTTGTTGAATTGCCTGTCTGGATTTTCTTCATCTTCATGTTTCATTTTGGCATAGCTTGAACGGCTCGGTTACGACTTCTTTTTTTATGTTTCTTCTTTTTTTTCGGAAAAATGTTCGTGTGGCTTCACCAAAACAAGAATATTTGAGAATATTATTGCCACCCAGTAAGCTTTTTCTGCAATTTTTAACTACCGTGCAGCAAATTTGCTGTCTGCCTGCAAAATGGCTTATTGTGATGAACGCTTGCAGTCCTGGCATGTCCCAGAAATTGGCATGCTGCCCATTCTTATCGCCAAGGGTGCTTACACGTACTCAAAATTATGGGACTTGTCCAAAATTTGATGAACAGAAGAGCGGAAACTGATTGTAGTAGCTGTACTGCTTGAAACGAATTCATTGATTACTGTTGGCATTTCCAGTTTTAACTGGCATTAAGTCAAAAATTAAGTTAGAAAATATTTCTGATAGAGATGGACGAGTAATAGCGATAGGTAAATAGCGAAGGTCTGGGTTTAAGCACGTCAACGCCCAGTAGGACGGGGAAGACGGGGAACATCTCCCGAAGATTTTAGCTTTCTAGCACTTTAAATCCCCGAGTTACGCGCCAGTACGCGAGTACCACGCTTACCATACACACAAATACATACGTACACACACATAACATGGTGAAAAAAAATGCTTTTTCAACTACTAAAGGTCAAGCAGCCGATGGTGTAAAGGCTGGATATAGGCTTGCTAGATAAATGTACCTCGAAACAGTGCGAGTTCTAGCCCTGATTTACATTTTTTCAAATGCTTTTACATTAGTAATGTTGATTTTTTAAAAAAGTTGCTAAAAATAGTGTTGTGGAAATTCGAAGGCTTGGACAGAGATTCTAATTTTGCGATTATTTCCATTATGGAAGAGCCACTTCATACTGCTTTCACTGTCTAAGATAGTCTTTACCTGAACTAATTAGGCAAAAATTAGTGCTACTGTACAGCAAAATTAACCGTTTTATTTTCCATATTAATAGGTATTCTTGTTTGGATAGTTACGCTCATGCTATCGTGAACGGAAACGTTATTTATAGACATTTGTTACAATACATTTGAATTGAATCGAGAGTCAAGAATTTCACTAAAACATAAGATTTATCAGCCTCGTAACAGTCTGGTATTTTATTGCTGTTAATTTCTTGAGGCTTCCCACTGATTATCAAGTTACAGATTCAATTTTTCCATTTTTTTTTTTTTTT